GGCAGTGAATGCTGAACAATGTCCTTACATATCTCTTACATAACATCAGTCTTCCTATATGGTAGTGAATGATAGACAATATCCTTATATATGAAGAAGAGACTTGAAGCAAAAGAAACAAAGAAAAGTGTACTGAATTCTTACATAATATCAGTCTTCCTATATGGTAGTGAATGCTGGACAGTCTCCTCACAGATGAAGAAGAGACTTGAAACAACAAAAATATAATTTTACAGAAGTGAAGGATGCTGAGAATACCATGGTCCAATCAACTAACAACAAAGTTTTGGAGAAAATGGAAACAAAATGTCTCAGGTCAGCCATTATCTTCCCCACATATCCACATAAGCTATGCCTCTTATTCTGTAATCCTCTACCTTGAATGGCTCCTGGGCCTTGTACAGGGAGAACATTATTATAAAAAAGAATAAGCTAAAAAATATTACAATTTTTTTAAGAAAATAATAAATGCATAAAGCTCTTTTTTTTTCTTTGTTGGGGAAAAATAAACAAATAATAAATTTGTTTCTTAAATATTTAGTCAAAATGGTTAATGTTTAATCAAAATATTCTTAAATTTACCTTTTTAAAATATAAACTTTTAGACCTTATTTTTATATGAAGTTGTAGTTCTAAAATGAATTTGTCAAAGGGAATATATTTAGTTGACTTGTTAGAATATGTTTTTAATAGAATTTTAATTATTTTAGTTTTAATATGTGGAGGATCACAGAGGTTAAGATTGTGCACACAGGAATGGATAGAGACAAAATCTTCGGTGAAACTCTCTCAGGCCAAGACCATTTTTATAACATTTGGACACCCATACGACTTCATGTGACTGCGCCTTCTTCCAGTATGTCATCTATGCAGCTTCATATGGCCATGCCTCTTCCGGCTATGTGCCCATGCAAATCCATGTGGCCACGCCTCTTATGGCACACATTTCCTTCTGCTCAGGACACTTATGTATCCTGTTATTTTTAGCCATTTCTTGTTTATACAATCACCCATTCCAATTTTTGCTCACTCTCTGATGCAGTGGAAGTAAGTCCAAAGGTCTTTCTCAATTGATATTCAACACTATTTCAATGAAATCAGGTAAATTTAAAAAAAAGCTGATGCAATTTCATGTTTATTACTTAATTATAAGGCAAAACAAAGAGATTTATAAATCTAAATTTAAAATGTTATTGAAAATTTTCAACATGTGCTCCGTCTGTATCCCTGCAAATTTCAAATCTAGAATTGCAAAACACATTTTGAAACATCACAGAAGTTATCTTATACATTGCTAACTGAATGTGTTCTTTAAGTTCAATTAAACTATTGATCTTTTTGTGATAAATCTTTGTTTTTATGAAACCACATGCAAAGAAAACCAGGTGTGGTGGGGATCAACAAAGATGTGTCCTTGTATATTCATTATTAATAAGGGTCTGAAAGGAAATGACAGTAAAATTAGGAAAACATTATAAAGTTATAAACAAAAAAAGAAGCTTGCACACTTAACACATATTAAACATGATGAACAGAAATAAAAGTGAGTTTTAAAAAAAAAATTGTCCACTTTCATTGAAATAGTTAATTATAGGACACTCTGTATTAGCAAATAAACTTAGGATTTGTATTTTGCAAAAATGGTTCACTTGTTTACTCCTTTTAATGAAATTTTAAGTTTTTTTTGTCTTTTCTTTTTCTCTTCTTTTCTCTTTTTTGTAATTAATTTTACCTTTTTTCTATTCTTTTTTTCAAATCTGTATTTCTTTTCCTTTTTTTTATTATTTCTGTATTTTTTTTCTCTTTTCCATATCTGTATTTATTTTCTTTTTATTCTGTATTTCTTTTTCTCTTTTCTCTTCTCTTTTTAATATATATATATGTATTTCTTTTTCTCTTTTCTTTTTCATATCTGCTTTTTCTTGTTCTTTTTTTTCATACCTTTATTTATTTTTCTCTTTTCTCTTCTCTTTTTCATACCTGCATTTCTTTTTCTTTTTTCTATATCTGTATATTTTTTTCTTTATCTTTTTCTTTTTCATATCTATTTCTTTTTCTCTTTTCTTTTTTCATACCTGTAATTATTTTTTCTCTTTTCTCTTTTTCCTATGTGTATTTCTTTTTCCTTCTCTCTTTCATATCTATATTTATTTTTCCTTTTTCTTTTTCATATCTGTATTTCTCATTCTTTTTTCTTCTCTTTTCTATATCTGTTTTTTTTCTGTTTTCTCTTTCAAATCTGTATTTCTCTTTCTTCTTTTCACTTTTTGTCAAAACTGTATTTCTTTACCTGTTCTCTTTTCTCTTTCTTCCTCTTCACTGCCTACCTCCATTTTCCTCCTGAAGATTACTCAAAATACTTTTTCTTCTTCTCATCTTTTTTTTTCCCTTTTTCTTCCCTTCCACTGCCTCAAAAGCTGACAAATTTACAGGAAACGCAATGAATATTGATTTCGCCATAAAGTTCACAGAAAATTGCAAGTGAATTTTGTTTAAATCCTTTGAGTATGAAACTGTCTTTGACACAAAATGTGTCACCCTGTCTATTTGTTTAGTGTCAATGGACAGCAAGAAATTCATTGACTTCACTTCTGATTGACTGATTTGTTGAACTCTCTCTCTCTCTCTCTTCCTTTCTTCATAACTCCCCTCCTCTTCCTCCTGTCTTGTACTTGTAACACTCTTTTTGTTTGTCCTCTTTTCATTGCTCTCTATACGTTTTCTTTTACTTGTATTGTCACTCTCTCTTTGTCTCTTCTCATTATTCCCCTCTTCTTTTCTTTTATTTTTTCTGTATCATATGGGTAGGTGAGGTCAATTGAAAAGTGACAAACATGGGTCAAATAGATTTAAATGTTTTTTCACTCTTGCATGTCTTTGGGTACACAAAGTGCATTCAACAATATGTTTGTGTATACACATTCTTTCATAAATTCATGTGCAGGGATATAATTATCTGTGTATTTTTGTGCCTATTTTCATATATTCGATTATTTATCTACATACATATAAATATTGCTTATAATATAGACATTTCATACACATACGCACGTTTATAGATATATTACTTATATAAACATTACATATACTTATAAACGTTTATAGATATATTACTTATAAAGATTACATATGAACATTTATAGAGATATTTCTTATAATATAAAGATTGCATGTGAACGTTTATGGATATATTGCTTATAATATAATAATTGCATATGAATGTTTATAAATATATTGCTTATAATATAAACAAATAAATATGAATGCCTATATATATATATATATATATATAGTTTAAGACATTTTATGTGTATACATTCATTTTATAGATACAAATATTTAAGTAAATGCTCTGTTTATAATAAACAGCATTAATGACATTTACCGGCCTGAATGTCTGAAAAATTTTCACAGAAAATATTCATCCTCCAACATAATTTGAACCTGTATCCTCTATGGAACCGTCATTTAGCTTGACATGCCTTTACCAATTTGGCCACAGAGGCGCGTTCAGTTAGCAAAGTCAAATTTACTGCTTTTAAACTTCAATCTTCCATGAATCTCTCATGTACATTCATATCTGCTCATAGCGTATCAAATGTAAACAAATGATGTCACACATTATGAAATATATATTTTTAATAATCACAAAGTTTTATAGATATATTACTTATAAACATATACATATGAATATTTATAGATATATTGCTTATAATATAAACATTTCATATACACAGGAATGTCTACAGATGTATTGCTCATAATATAAACATTACACATATGAACTTTTATAGATATATTGCCTATAATATAAACATTATATATCCTTATGAACTTTTATAGATACATTGTTTATAATATAAAATATATAAATATGAACATTTATAGATATATTTTTTAATAATATAAACATGAAGCCTTATAGATATATTACTTATAATATAAACATATACATATGAACATTTATAAATATATCATAATATAAACATATACATATGAACATTTACAGATACATGTTCAAAAATATAAATATTACATATGAATGTTTATAAATATATTGCTTATATTATAAACATATGAAGAAAAATATACAGAAAAAACAAACAAAAATCTTAATATGCAATTATGCTGTATTAATGTTAATATAAAGTCAATGTTGGACGTTTCGGTCTATTTTAGACCATCATCAGGACATATTCATTAAACATAATTAACATTAGAACATATAAAATTCAACGGAAAAAGATGGATTAAGAGCACAACTAATCCAAACAGATAACTGAAATTTTCTATAAGATCAGCGTCAGTTTAAATATGATCACATCATCGTCACGTATGGCGTTGTGAAAAACGATTTATATATTTCATGACGATGACGTGATCATATTTAAACGGAACGCTGATCTTATATAAAAATTTCAGTCATCTGTTTGGATTAGTTGTGCTCTTATGTCCATCATCTTTTCATGTTGAATTTTATATGTTCTAATGTTAATTATGTTTAATGAATATGTCCTGATGATGGTCTAAAATAAATCGAAACGTCCGACGTTGACTTTATATTAACATTAATACAGCATAATTGCATATTAAGATTTTTGTTTGTTTTTTCTGTATCTTTTTCTTCATACTGTCGGATCTATATCCATATATTTGCTTACATATTATAAACATATATACATAGGAATGTTTATAGATATATTACTTATAGTATAAACATATATACATAGGAATGTTTATAGATATATTACTTATAGTATAAACATATATACATAGGAATGTTTATACATATATTACTTATAGTATAAACATATATACATAGGAATGTTTATACATATATTGCTTATAAAATTAACATTACATAGACATTGTACGGTTTATAGTTATGTTATAATATAAATATTCATTTACATATAAACATTTATACTTACATTGCTTATAATACAAACATAGACATGTTTATAGATATATTGCTTATAGTGTAAATATTACATATACAAATGAACATCTATCTATCTATCTATCTATCTATCTATCTATTCCAGTGGTTTTCAACCAGGATTCTGCGGAACCCTAGCATTCTGCCAGTAAAGCCCAGGGGTTCCGCAAGAAGTTACACAAGTACTATGATTGACAGTAATTTTTAATTCTCCTGTGCAGATATGTGTATTTAGGTACCTCTACTAAATCAATAACAAAACAGAATAGTATGAATAAAAAAAGGTCCCAAACTTAATCTTTGTATTTTTTTGTAAATAAATCTGAAGATGAGTATTTTTATTTTAATAATTGAAAGCTTTTTTTTTTTGCATAAGACAATTAATTTATTGCAGGGATTCCTCGAGACACTGGAATGTTTCCTTGTGGTTCCGCTCCAGCAAAATGGTTGAAAACCACTGATCTATTCATATGTGTGCCCCGCTTTTGGGTTTAAAAATTTCTTTTACATGTTTATACTATAAGTTATATATGTATAAACATTCCTATGTATATATGTTTATAATATGTAAGCAAATATATGGATATAGATCCGACAGTATGAAGAAAAATATACAGAAAAAACAAACAAAAATCTTAATATGCAATTATGCTGTATTAATGTTAATATAAAGTCAACGTCGGACGTTTCGATTTATTTTAGACCATCATCAGGACATATTCATTAAACATAATTAACATTAGAACATCTAAAATTCAACATGAAAAGACGATGGACATAAGAGCACAACTAATCCAAACAGATAACTGAAATTTTTCTATAAGATCAGCGTTCCGTTTAAATATGATCACATCATCGTCACGTGGGCGATGTTGTGAAAACGTATTCGTTATATTTCATGACGATGACGTGATCATATTTAAACGGAACGCTGATCTTATATAAAAATTTCAGTCATCTGTTTGGATTAGTTGTGCTCTTATGTCCATCATCTTTTCATGTTGAATTTTATATGTTCTAATGTTAATTATGTTTAATGAATATGTCCTGATGATGGTCTAAAATAGACGATATATGAAACACCTATATAAACGTACCGATTTAAGTGTAACATAAATTTTAATTGTTATTTTTTATTTTATTTTTACTTAACACATTTTTATTTTTCATTGACGTCTCTCACATTTCCTTTCCCTTTTATTTTTCCAGTTGTCTTTCCTTCAGTTTCTTTCATTTCCTTTTCCTATGTGTTTTTCTTTCTTTTGCCATTATTTTCACCTTTCTTTTTATTTCTACTCTTTCTTTCTCCCTTTCTTTATGTTACTTTATCAGCAGACACGACTTTCTCTCCATTATCAACGGTGTTGTCTGACATGACAAGATATCTGTCTATATTTCTGATTTTCTATATTGTAATTATTTACACTATTTACATTGTTTGGACTGTTGTCCTCATCTTTATTGGCATATTCATGACGTTTCAACCATTGTACGCTCCAGCCTTCTTCAGGATCTGTCTATATTTCTGAGATGAGATATTGTAATTATTCAGACTGTTGTCCTAATCTTTAAGGCCATATTCATGATGTCTTGACTGGTACACCCTGGCCTTCTTCAGGTGATTGGAATTTTGAATTGAACCCTTTATTTCATCCACTAGGGTAGTTGTTCTAGTTCCACATGTCAAATATCTCAATCTTATATAAGACTGCAAAAACATTGCAAAGCCGTAACCCCGAGGGAAAATAAAAAATAAGACATAGCTGAACACATATGTAGGGAAAAGGGAGATCACCATTCCCTATTGGATCATGCTGAAAAAACAGACAAAGAATATCACTGGAAAATACGAAAACTTAATGAATCAGCACATATGCTATGTGTTAGGGCCAGAAATAAAGACACAAAGAGAGGAATTGAGTTAAACAAATATATTAACAGAAACAGTAATACAAACATATACAAACGAGAGTGTTAGAGCAAAAATGTTTGGCCTGACTATCAGAGCTGACTGCTGGAAATTTCCCTCTCCAAAAGGCAGTACCTGCTCCTATTATAGCTGGGAGAGTCCATGTGTTCATGGGTAAATTACCATAACACTAGGCCACAAAAATCTTTCAAGCTGACCAAGCATAGAAATGAATACAATATGGGAACTAATAATACAGAGTGTAAAAAAAAAGCAATAACAACAAAAAAATTGCAATATGAGCTCTGGTAAAATTGTTAGTGAGACATTTATATCTATAAACATGTCTATTTATATGTTTGTATTATAAGTAATATAACTATAAACGTTCCAATTTATATGTAATGTTTATTTTATAAGCAATATATATTTATAAATGTCTCTAAGTTATTTTTTATTAGAAGCAACATATCTATAAACATACACAAAAATTCCTACACTGATGTCCTTAAAGGTCATATTGCCCAGTGGATAAAGGGGTTGGTTGGAGCCAGTGACTTGACCCAAAGAGTTGTGAGTTCAATACTGGCTACTGCAATGGTGAACAAAATCTTTGAGTGTTGAGTTAAAGGAAGATAACTGAGACATCTGGAAGAGGCATGGCACGTGGAACTAGAACAGTCTACCCCAGTGGATGAAATAAAGGTATCAGTTTGAAATTCCAATCACCTGAAGAAGCATGCAACAGCTGAAGTGTTGTGAATATGGCAAGAAAGATGAGGACAACAGTGCAAATAATGTAAATATTGTATATAAGGACAAGATATCTGCAATTTTTTTTTTTTTATAAAATTTATACTTTCAAGCCAGTTGAAGAGGTTAATATGCTTATGAAGATTGCAACAAGGGCAATGGACTAAAAAGTTCATTTCTTACATTTTGTTTTTTTTTTTTTGAAACTTCTTTCTTTTTTTTATTTCATCTCCATTCCTTCTTTTTTTGGTCACTATTATTTTCCTTTTTCTTTTGCAGTCTCTCTTACTTTTTCTTTCTTTTTTTCTTCTTCTTCTCACTTCCTTTCTTTCCTTTCCTTTCCTACTTCACTGAATCTCTTTTATAAAATATTTTCTTTCCTTCATTCTCTCCATCTTTCTTTCTTTTCTTTTTTCAGATCATTTTCTTTGTTAACAAAAATAAAAAAACTAAAGATCATGTTTTGTACTCTCCAGCTGTTATTTCTAAAAGCCTCCCCCCTCACCAAAAAAAAACAAACAAAAATTACAAATTACATTCACAAGGTGTTTGCAATAAAATCTTTGTGGCATTTCTCAAAGAATATTTTTTAAATAAAGAATAACAGGAAAAAAATGAATTATATCTGAATCAAACAAGCTTTTTCCAAAATTTTCTCTTTTGCTGCAGGAGGACACGTTCTGGTTCTTTTTTGTGTCATGAAGCCTCAAAGGAAATAAAATAACAAAATTTTAGAGATTGAAAATCAGCTCTGAAACAAGAGCTTATTAAATAGATGCTCAAAAAATCATTATTTAAATGGTGAAATAAATTTGTGTGATATAGAATTAATATAAGCCACAGGTTTGACACTTAGCTGATAAATATTATGTTTCAACATCCCAACATCAGAGTTTCATAGATGGACCATCTAGGAATTACATTGTCCACTCTTCAGGGGATATTAACAATTAACTGCTTATACTTCTCGATTTTTCTTTTTTATGTGCACTATTCATTGGTGCAATTTTTTTGCATAGTGCATATGTGAATATGCACTCATGCACACGTATGTGCACACATTTAGAATGTTCTGATTATTTCTTCTTTATGTCGTTTTCTTTTTTCCAGTTTTCACTCAATCCTTAATCTTTTCTCTCTCTTTCTTTTGGTCATTCAGTCTTAACCATTTGACTTCTGGTTATCTCTCACTTTTTCCCTTTCTCTCTCTCTCCCTTTTCTTCCTGCTTTCTCTCTCTCTCTCCTTTTTCTTCCTGCTTTCCCTCTCTCTCTCCTTTTTCTTCCTGCTTTCCCCCTCTCTCTCCTTTTTCTTCCTGCTTTCCCCCTCTCTCTCCTTTTTCTTCCTGCTTTTCCCCTCTCTCTCTCTTTTCCTTCCTGCTTTCCCTCTCTCTCTCCTTTCCTTCCTGCTTTCTCTCTTTTCCTTTTCCTTCCTGCTTTCCCTCTGTCTCTCCTTTTCTTCCTGTTTTTGTCTCTCTCCTTTTCCTTCCTGCTTTCCCCCCTCTCTCCTTTTTTCTTCCTTTTTCCTCTCTCTCTCCTTTTCCTTCCTGCTTTCTCTCTCTCTCTCTTTCCTTCCTGCTTTCCCCCCTCTCTCTTTTTTCTTCCTGCTTTCTCTCTTTTCTTTTCCTTCCTGCTTTCCCTCTGTCTCTCCTTTTTCTTCCTGTTTTTTGTCTCTCTCTCCTTTTCCTTCCTGCTTTCCCCCTCTCTCCCCTTTTTCTTCCTGCTTTACCCCTCTCTCTCCTTTTCCTTCCTGCTTTCCCTCTCTCTCTCCTTTTTCTTCCTGCTTTCCCTCTCTCTCTCCTTTTCCTTCCCGCTTTCCCTCTCTCTCTCCTTTTTCTTCCTGCTTTCCCCCTCTCTCTCCTTTTTCTTCCTGTTTTTTGTCTCTCTCTCCTTTTCCTTCCTGCTTTCCCTCTCTCTCCTTTTTCTTCTTTTGAATTAGGAAAACTCTATTTGATGTCTTTTTAAAAACTAATTCTAATGTTTAAATAATAAAGTAAATATTTATATGCCTTCATTTGACAATTATTTCATTTTCTTTGCTGATTTAGTCATATCTTAAGTACTATTTGGGTATTTATTGTAGGACGTTATTGTTATAATTAAATTTTTTATTTATTATTGCTTGAATTTGTATTCATATGCTTATATATATATATATATATATATATATGGAAAGGATGTTGAAAATGTTTAATGGTATTTGTACAAAAGAAAAAAAAACAACTTAATGACTGTTCTTCCAATTATTTATTTAAATTTAAAGCTTATGTAGGGATACAAACACCATTTTCTCCATTTAGTCAAGATAAGTCACATGGGTCATGTGATGTCACCTCATACAGTGATGAAAGTAGCAGTCAATTTCAGTTTGTTTACAGCAGCCAAACAAAGTGATTGTTTTTTTAGCCTGAAGCAAATGGCCCAGGCTGAGACTAAATCTGCCTCTCCCAGCAGCTTACATATTCATGGGGATATTTTCCTTTGGGAAACCTTTCCCAGATACAGGTAGAAACTCTGGAATTGCTGTTTCCCCTTCATAGAATATGTCCTTATTTGTGACATAGTAGATGAATCTAGATTGTTCAAATCTGGAGTCATAAACATGGCTTCTCCAGAAACAGAAAAAACAGAAAAATCTCTATATCATATGTAAGACCCATCCTTCTTGTTTTCACTCAGATCTGCTGTGTAGATATGATATATTATTCTCTGCATGGCACATGTGTATATGTGTATATACAGTTTTGTGTATGTCTTCAATATAATAAATGCAAATGTCAGTGTGTCACACTTTTTCAACTTTACTCATAGAGGCCATAGCTGAGCATATCATACCATTTTGGAATCAGGCTGACTCTGTGAGAAAATTAAAAACTTTCTGGGATGGATCCTCATCTGCAATCCTAAAATTTTGGATTCCCGAGTTTTCATCACTGTAATTGTTTTTCGCCGTTTTCTTTTTTTTTATGTCATCTTTTGTGACAAATTTTTTGGTACAATAACAATTTTTTATAAATTTGGGAATAATCAAAATTAATTGCAAAATCCAGCAAAAGTGGTAGCAGAAGAATTATCATTGAATTTTTAAAATATAAGCTTAAATATTAATGCAATAGTTAAATGCAGCGATCAATTTTGAGTTCTTCTGTAGTTTATTGTTATGTATCACATCTACTCCTCTGTACCTATTGTGATGAAGGCCCATTCAAGAGCCCTCTGCAGAAGCCTGCTTAAAGCATTCTTGTCATTCCTTTTCCTTTCAGCCATTCCATTCTGTTTATGAATTACAGTGTTATTATATTATGGATATAATAATCCTCATAATGGGGGAAATACAAATAAGTGAATAAATGTTTCTTCTCTAGCTCTCTCTTGTTATACTTATTTCTGTTTATTTTTAACAAAATAGACCAAAGCCTTTTACTTCCGCCGTCTTTCCATGCATCAAGGTTTCCTTTCCTTGAAATAGACTGACAAGCTCCATCCACCTGAATATATTTTTTTATTACTTCAAACATTATTTTTAGTGGATACCTGAATTTGAGTAGAATGTATTGTTTTTTTTCAACAGCATTTATTTTGCCTACCAGCCGGTGCATTCAAGAAAACTCATGAAAAGGTTTCTCGAATGCACAGACCAAATTTAAAAAATGGGAAATTCTACTCAAATGTGGATATCCACCAAAAATAATGTTTAAAGTAATAAAAAAATATTGGATTAAAAATAAAAAATCTATTAAGTTTTTAGAAGTTGCTTTTCACATTCAGTTAAAATAAAAAAACATCTTTGATAATGGCTAATAGATTACCTGGAAGCAGTTGGATATAGAAAACATTCAGACAATTTTTACACACCTTATGTCCAGAAAAGAAACCACTGATATGAATACAAGAAAAATTAAATAAAAAGCTTAATCACTGTATCAGGTGAGTTGTCTTTAATGAAACTTGTATAAAAGAGAGATTGCTGCCCAAATACACAGTTTATATATATATATATATATATATATATATGAAAAGTGTATATAAATAAATATATATATGTATAATTATTTATATATTATATGTGCGGTACTTATTAGAAAGCGCTCAATATCAGAGATAGAGCTAACATATTTGGTTGGATAGATGTGAGTTTGTGACCCTGGGTTTCAAGTTTTCGAACAAACTGATTAATGTTTTTCTTTAAAATCATTAATCAGTTTGTCTGATTTATTACAAAGCGTGAAACCCAGGGTCACAAACTCACATCTATCCAACCAAATATATATATATATATATATATATATATATATATTATATTAGAAAAATTATATTAAAACATTTTCAATCGCTATTATAATCTCTTATAATAATATTTTGGTCTACTTTGCATTGAGCACTTTTTTAAACGTAAATGCTATGAACTGTGGATATTTACTACATTTGTTATTTCTCTTATTTGTGTGTATATATATATATATATATATATAAAAATAATAAGTACAGAAAATCTTTAAAAATCCATCCCTTCAAACCAAAGTTTTTTTAATAAATTTTACTTAATAAATTAGATTTATTAAAAAAAATTTGGTCTGAAGGATGAATATTTGTATATATTCATAAAATAAATTATAATTGAATGAATTTTTACGGATCATCTGTACTTATATATATATATATATATTCATACATGTTTCATTAAATAATATAGACAAATGTTGTCTATTTATTTTATGTAAATTTTTTTCATAATGTCTGATAAGTTTAATAACATTAATGTTATTAAACTTATCAGATGTTATGAAAAGAATTTACATAAAATAAATAGACAACACTTGTCTATATTATTTAATGAAACATGTATGAATGAAAAGATGCTGCCTAAATACACACAATATATATATATATATATGTATTATTATTATTATATTGCTCTATTTCATACATTGCTCTCTTTGGATTCATGTCCACCTTGGAATTATCCCTACCAATTATCAACAGATATTACTTTATATATATATGTATATAGTAACATACAGTGAATGCTAGTGTTAATAAAACAGTGTTCAATAAAAAATATATTAATAATAAATATACTTTTTTCCCCACTGTTTAGTACAATTCTTTAGCAGAGTTTTGCTAAACAGTGAGGAACAAAATATATATCTATTATTAATATTATATATATATATATATACACACACACACAGAGTCTTGCACAAGCCATATATATGTTCAGTATTCCATTGATACACACATTTCCAGGTATTTCCTGGACAATTTTACTAACCCTTGACATTATATATTTAAACATCTGTTCTTTTCCCAAAATTTCTGCATTTTTTTCATACAATTTTTCTTTTACCTTTTTTCCTTTGTTGTTGTTGTCCTTCTTCTTCTCCTCCATTAGCACCTACAATCATGGACTCTCTCTTCACTTCATGCTTAACATCATCAAACTATAACTGCCATTGCTACCTTCTCTGCATTTGTGCTTTTATCTTTTTCTAATGTTATCCTTGAAGTCAAAATCCTAACCAAAGAGCAGCTGCCTTTTTCACTATTTATTACCTCCCAAGTGTTTTTTTTTTTTTTTCTTTCTCTTTTGCCAAATGATACCATTTCACTCATCTCTCCCCTCCTCCTCCTCCCATCCCTATCCCTGACCCAAACAAAGCATATCATCTGCCTAGCACTTGATGAGCAGAGTTGTCTGCCTTTATGGCTTCTTTGACATCTCATCAACAGTTTATCAGGCTTTTCAACATTTTCTTAATTTTCATTGTCTTTTCTTGTTATTTTACTTGGTTTTTTTTTTTTACTTCCACTTTTATCAACATCAGTCTGCATTATATTTAGTGGCTGCCATATTAAAGCTAAGTCTCTCTTTGAAAAAAAAATCTCTTGAAAGCATTAAGAATCATTAATTATTACTGTAAGGAACATTTATACATGTTACTGATATCTGGGGTCAGCTTTTGATATTCTTTCAGTTTTTAAAATAAAAACAACAATGATAATTTAAGATAAAAATTAGACAAAAAATTCACATGACTTGATTAGTGTTGGTTGCTGGACTGTAATAATGTATCCAATCTCCTTTTGTTTTATTATTTTTTTTTACAATAAGGTTCACCCTGTACTAGTAGAGGGTTATGTTAGGAGACAGTTTGTACAGATAGGAGGGGAAGATAATGTTTAACCCTAGAATTGAGCAGGTTAAGATCGTAGTGATCAGGGAAACATCCTCTTGGGAATCGGTTCCATAGAGCAGTATATAATTCGTTGAGGAACATAGGGCTGCAAGATATCGTTGTGTTTTCTGTAACAAGCCAGTTTTTAAGTGCATGGTGAGATAATGGATAGCGGCTCGGATTGAGGAATTAAAGAACTGAGTTCAAATTCTAGTCAAATCCATTACTTACATGCTAATACTCTTGGAAAAGGTATGAATCCTCTTCTTTTCTCCCCAGCTATGAGTAAATAGCAGGACAGACCAAATTCTATAGCCTTGGATAGCAACTGGTCTACCACAGAAAGAAATGGCAACCTACTGCAGGAAAAAATCTGCCTCGTCAGTTATGTATCACACATGGCACATAACTGACTGAAGTTGTTAGCCAACTGCACAACCCCCAACCTGGAGGATCAGGTTTTGAATACAGACTTATCCTTCTCTTAGACAAGTTGCCATCCAAGGCTATAGAACCCAATCTGTTCTGCTATTTAATCATAGCTGGAGGGAGAAGATGATTCATACCTTTCCCAAAGGTATTAGCATATAAGTGAATGTAATGAGTTTGACCTTGACCTTTGGAATTTGAACTCGGCACTCTGATTTCTCAATCCGAGTCATTATCCATTAATCCACTGTGCACTTAAAAACTCCCATTGTATGGTCAGTGATGCTTATTATCAAAAGCTGTTTTTTTATAAACAGAGAATTATTGGG